CTGCAGTACATAAAAGTACATGATTTTAGCAGTCATGCTTGGAGAGCAGATGTAATTTTCTTTACTGTTGAGCGTTGTGGAAAATTTACTACAAATATTTAGAATCCACAGGTTCAAGTTAGGAGCTATACCTTCAAAAATTACTGAGACCATTACTTGCTATTTGAAAGGCATAATCCTGGTGACTTGCTTAAAGCTTGCAGACCCTCTTAAGATGAAGCAGTTCAGTGACTTTAATGCACTGTGTGTTTAAATAGCTTTCAAAGAGCAGAGTTGGGGGCATCATATTTAATGCCATTCATGGGGATAAGTACAATTAGTTATAGGTAATGGCAAACGTTGCTAGAATTTGAGCAGAAAACTGGCACTATATGGTACATTTTTTTTTTTTAGGTTCTATAAAGTACATAGACAATCTCGGCCGCAATCCAGGGAACAAAACAGCATGTTAAAAGATTTTATCGTGGTGTAGGGTACTTGGTCTCTCTTTCGTGAAAGTATGTCTCTTCACTCCCACATATAATTAGCAGGAAAAAATGTTACTCTGCTTTTCAATGACATGTTGATTTTTAACTTTAGCATTTTTATACCAATTATGCTTATAAGGATTTTGATTTTTAAAAAAGTCTTGCTGCATAGTGGGATCATAGCAGTGGCTCTCAAATACCGTTTTTGCACAAGTCTTCCTGAAAAATAGACTTTTGCTTAAGTGTAATGGAAATATTTCCATGACTTCAGCAGTCTACTATAGAGGATAAACATTTCCATGAAGAGCTTGCAACTTGAGATTTATTGTACTGTGCCGAATTCATGATAACTGGACAGGGAAAGTCGCTGTGGATCTATATTAGAAAAATACTACTTTATTGTCCAAGCTGCCATGTAAGCAATTAAAAAATGTTCTAATTGCAATAGCCTTTAGTATAAGTAATGTTGGGGTAACAGAAATGTACTTTTTAAAATATCTTGAAGACTAAGATCATAGATCTTATTAAAGGCATGCTGTACGAGCTTTATTAGCACAAAAGAGCTTTGTCTTTGTCCTAACTGACCAGGTACAAATGCCAATGTGGCAGCAAGCAGTCTCGGTTTATGAATTATGGCAATGTAGGGGTGTGGTCAGAGCATGCAGCTTAGCCCCTCTGAGATTTCAGTGGCTCCTCAAGGACTATTGCAGGCAGCAACTGAAATGTCTACAGTGCCATTCTAGTATTAAGCCTCTTTCATTCCTACCCAAAAAGAGAACCTATTTTAAGGTTTGTGTCCTTTAATTTAAAGCAAGCTGCTACAGTGAGGTGTGCAGAGTGGGTTAGGCTGTGTGCTATGGTTACCAGCACTGAACAGAGCTAGATCTGTTAACATCAAAATGGTTGACTTGTCACTCCATAGTAATCGTTCATTGTAAGAAAAAATCAATAGCATAGCTTAAGTCACATATAGCTGATCACATGCTCTGAGGCTTCTGTGGCACTGAGACTAAAAGCCAGAAGTAGGGAGGAGCCATGTCAGGAAACATTTTATTTCTGCTGGGGGGAAGCCTGCCTTGTCATAAGCACAAATTGATTTTTTAATTTTACAGTAATGTGCTGTTGTAATTGTTAACTTGAAAGGCTACCTTTAAGGGCCTGATGTTCTGCCCTGTGTATCCAGGATTCTTACTGGGAGGAGAGTTTTTCTGGATATGTGAGGACTGAGAGATAGTACCCAATCTGTTCAAATCTTCTTAGTAAGATAAAGCACAAAAATTGAAACTGCAGCCTAGATAAGATGAATCAAATGCATTATCTCCTGAAAATTAATTACACACCTGGACCTATTAAAATCATTGATTCAAGGAAAAGTAATGAAAAATGAGAAGTGTTAAGTTTCAATCCAGACTGAGAAAATCTTTAACATGGGCACTGATGTCTCATCAACTTGCTTTTAAATGCCTGTCTTACTGAACCCAGCAATTCCTTTCTGGTTTAATACCTGATATGGTAATGTGGGGAGCGGTGGTTACCTTAAACAAAGAAAATCTTGATACAGGGCAGAAGTAAAATGTGCAGAATATGCCAATTAGATTGCATTTGGTTCTCTAAAGGAAGTAGTTTTTTTTACCTTAGTTTGATTCCCTGGTTTCTTGTTGAAATCAGCACAACCTATGCAGGTTCCTGAGATCTCCCAGGTTAAACTTCTTTCTTACCATCTACACCTGAGAAGAATGCCGACTGTTCTTTTTCCAGCCTCTCCTTTCCCATGCCACTTAAACACTTTAAGCTGGTCAGTTACCAGCACAAAAAATACAACAACAAATACAACTGCAGCCTACTCTAGAGTAAGACACGCGGTTCCTGGGTAGTTAAGAAATACTCACCACTCCACTGACAAGGGAAGCTACTCCACATAGGCACAGCTGAGAACACTTGCTGCTTGATTGTGCATGTTTAATCTGCTCCAGTCCTTACTCATCACCCAGCACTAAGAGGAAGCCTGGAGCATCAGGCATAGCAGCACCATGCTTGGCTGTAACCGACTTCATTTAGAATGTAACTTGTCATTTGGCCTTAAATACAGAGGCATTTTTTCCTCCCACTTCTGCCACAGGACCCCACTCCACGCTGCTCTGTCTCAAACCTTCAGCTGTGCGCCCCGGCTCTGCTGGGGCAGTAGTAATCCATACAGAAATGAGCAAGAAATTAGTGCTGTGCAAAACCCATCTGAGCACCACAGCTAAGGAGGGTATTCAAGGAAACCATTTTGCAGTCTTGCCTATAGCACTACCTGTACGCCAAACCCTGCTGAACCACGAGAACACGATTCCCGGGGCAGCATCACGCCTCCCTTTTCTCCCTGAACAACGAGGCAGAGCTCTTTGCGATCAACCAGCCCTTTCCCTTCCCCACCTCCCGGCAATTAAAATCCCGAAACTCCTTCAGCAGCAGGCGCTCTGCCCCGCTTTGTTCCTCGTGCTCCCCTCGCGGGGCTGGGGTTGGGCGGGGAGGAGGAGGAGAAGGACGGGAGCTTTACCTGCCGCGGAGCCGGGGCCGCCTGCAGCTGCAGCATCCACGGCGGGCGGGCGGGGAGCTCAAAGCCCCGGAGCCATGCGAGCGGCGGGCAGGGAGCGGCGCCGGAGGCTCCGTGCGCCGGGGGCAGGCTCAGGCTCAGCACCGGGCGCTGAACAGCTCCGCCGGGCGCCGCGGGCGGGGCCGAGCCGCGCTCCCCGCCCCTGGGCGCGGGAGGGCCCCGCCGCCGCGCCCCGCCCCGCGGGGGACCGAGCGCCCTTCCCGGTCCTCCCCGCGGCCTGGGGGCGAGGCTCTGCTCCTGCTGCACGCCGGGAGTTGTAGGCGCGGGACGCGGGGCTGGGTGGTGCTGCCCCCTGGGGACCCGGCCCCGCTGTGGGGAGAGGCGCTGGAGGTCGCTGCCTCCTCCCGCCCCGCTGGGCGCCGTGCTCGGGTGATCCCCCCTCGCTGGGGTGTTGTCAGGGGGTGGCTTGCGCCTTTTGCTTGGGGTGGAGGAGTCAACATTTTTAATTAATTTATTTATTTATTAACAAAAGGCTAAGATCCTGCAGTTCTTCCGTAATTTTGCGGGCGTAATTAGAGACAAAGAGATGATACAGTTGTTAAGGTCTTGGAGAAAGTCCTGAAAGGTGTGCCCTGTCCCTGTGCACCCTTCCTCCCTGTCACTGAGATTTAGAAGATAAAACATACATAAAAGCAACTAAATGAAGTCAGGACGCCACCTTCCTAATGAAAAGCAAAGCACTGCAAAAAAATGCTGTAGCCCGATTGCAGCTGCCTTTCAAAAAGGCATCAGACATAAATCACAGAATCACAGAATTTCTAGGTTGGAAGAGACCTCAAGATCATCGAGTCCAACCTCTGACCTAACACTAACAGTCCTCCACTAAACCATATCCCTAAGCTCTACATCTAAATGTCTTTTAAAGACCTCCAGGGATGGTGACTCCACCACTTCCCTGGGCAGCCCATTCCAATGTCTAACAACCTTTTCTGTAAAGAAGTTCTTCCTAACATCCAACCTAAAACTCCCCTGGTGCAACTTCAGCCCATTCCCCCTCATCCTGTCACCAGGCATGTGGGAGAACAGGCCAACCCCCACCTCACTACAGCCTCCTTTAAGGTACCTGTAGAGAGCAATAAGGTCGCCCCTGAGCCTCCTTTTCTCCAGGCTGAACAAGCCCAGCTCCCTCAGCCATTCCTCATAGCACTTGTTCTCCAGACCCCTCACCAGTTTCGTTGCCCTTCTCTGGACTCTTTCAAGCACCTCTATGTCCTTCTTGTAGCGAGGGTAAATCAAAGACATACCAATGTCTCTGCGGGGCTCTTCAGATAATTATGAAGCAGAGTGTCATTATTTACCTTACAAATGAACTGACACAGTATTTCCAAACTAATTCTATGTAGCTCCTTGTCAAAAGAATTGTGGGTTTTTTTCAGTGTATAAGTAAACTTATGATTTTGGTAACGACCATTAAAGGAAGGTTTCTCAAGAGTTGTTTAATACAAGGAGCTAAATGCTTGCAACTTAATTCAGAAGTTTGAGCACTATGCCATCTCTCCCTGTGAGATACGTGGTATTCAGGATATTGGAAAGCCGTGTGTTTCTGCTCTGCAAGCTTTTTGTTTTCCTTCTGGAATTTCGTATTGTTAGATGGTGAGTGTTAAATGGTGCTTTAGCTTTCTCTTTGTAGAGAGGAACTTAGATTCTATGTTAGGATCCTATGCATGGCCCTGGTGTTGCTGCTTTGGAACCCCAGTGCCCAGGAGATGTTTTCTAGCAATTGCACTGCAAGCTAGCAAGTAACATTACAGGGAAACCTGGACAACCAAATTAAACTAAGCAGAATATTTTATTTACATGATGTTAGCAAATCTTTCATTTGGATCATCCTTATCCCTGCATGGTTTATTCTATACTAATGATGCAGAAGAAGTAAGGCTTACTGTTACTTTTTCAATAGGTTGATATTGCAATGGTTTCTCTTCCTCTTTCAGATGTTTTTTGGATAGTTCTTAAATGTCAGCGTAACAGGCTTCCTTGATAGCAGCTGGATCATGCAGCCACACTCTACTGAGCAAGCTCACTTCTGCAGCTCTCCTGAAAAGGTGAGAAAATGACACAGATTCTGATATTACATACTGCATAGTGATTTTTGGTTTTATCCACTATTGGATTTGTGTTGATTCAAAAAGGTTCCTGCTCTGATTCTACATTATATGCCACCAGCATACTAACTTGATCACAGTGTAAGTGAAGTCTGTGGAATACATACAGCTGTCTTATAGTTATTCTAATTCTGGCTACATGACAACCATCAAATCACTTCCTAAAGTACCTTCCCTAGAGTATTTCACAGCTTACTTAAGTCAGAATTCTGTATTCTTAGTGCCATACCTGAACTTTTCATCATTATACAGTTTGAGCAAACTACAGTAGAGAAGCTTACAATAGTATTTACTACATTAGAATTTTTATTTGACTGAACTTGTAGGTGTAGGAAGTGTTTATGAGACTACAAGGCAAATGCTGTTCTCTGAATAATGACTCAGAGTTATTAAAAATGAGTTCTGGGTATAGTCAAAAACAAATCATGAAAAACAGAATTTCTTCCTTTTGTCATTTCCTACACATTCAAGTAACAATAGAATGTACATCCTCAAAATTGGAACTTTGGTGTGGTAGTGTGGGGTAGAGGGATTCTACATCTGAAATAGCAGGGAACTTGAAATGATAGAGAGCCTAGCTGAGGTAAATGGTGTAGTTGAGAAAAGCTTTCAGGAGTATATATAGCTGTGGGGTATCCCAAATTACAAAACCAGAAATTAGCACAGGGTTTGCTTGTGTGGAAGAGTCACACAACTCCCTTCTCTTTGCATTTTGTCCTCACCCCATAATCACGATGAGGCCAAGTTCTTTTTTTAGCTGAAAGCACACCAGTAGCCATTTTCTGCTTTGGAAAAAAAAATGAGACGCAACCAAAATATAGTCAAAATACTTGTGAATAATCTAAATATGATAATTCAAACTCACAGATTATTATTAACACATATTATCATTCAATTAAAGGACTTAGTGAGAACAACAGTTCTTTATAAAATGCAGATAACAATAATTCATGTCCCAGATCTCACATCTTTCTTACTCTCATTTTTTATTTCATACACCTAGTCCTTATTCTAACTTTTTGGGCACTGAAATGGAAGAAGAATAAGCATCACTTTGCTCCCAAATTCACATAAAAATTCTTGAGCACTACTTTTGAAGCTGGAATTAGCTCTGCCTATATTAAGTAAGTTTATTAGAGTTCCAAATAGTTTTGGACAGAAGTAAAAGTAGAATGACTTTATCATATCAAGTATGAAAAGTTCTTTAAGGTCTTGCATAGGCAATCATCAACCATTTGAGTACAGCTGAATAACTGGATTCATGGATCCTGCTTTCTGCTAACAGCAGCTGTAGTGTGCTGTTGTCAGCAGCAACCAGCCTGCTTACCCTGCAGACAGAGACTCCCATTTTCCTGCACAAGTAAAATGAATTCAGGGAAAGCCAGATAGGAGAACAAATTTCTTTCCAATTTCAGTGGCATCCCTGCATTTATCTCAGCAGAAGGACTGGAAGAAGAAATCTTAGGAAAGAAAGGCAGAAAAAGATTACTAATTTTATTTTCTAAGGATACCTCAATGTATTACTTGTTTTCAGTTTGTTGTATGTCCAAATTCTTATTGATGGGCTTAGCAAACATTTAATCAGACATTACTGAAGGATCACTGATCATTCTATCTAAGGGTTTACGCAGCTATGCTTCCAAAGGTTTTCTCTTACTATGTTAAAGAACAGCAGATGTCATGATTCCTCCTCACTACCTCCATTTTCTCATCCTCATTAAATTATAACCATGTAGCATCAATGCTTCCTTTGCCTTGCAAAGAAATAGACTAAAAATTAAAATAGAGGAAGAAGTTCTGTTTCATTGATACTGGAATAGAAAAGCAGAGCTTGTGCCAAATGGTGTAGCTAAAATACATGACGCAGCCAGGTACAGTTAAGTCTTGTATAATTGAAAGGATATATGAAATAAATATAAAGTATTTAAGTATTCAAAAATGCAATAAACTCTCTAATAAGTGCTTCTTAGAGGCAGCCTTGATCTGCCCTTAAATAGTCACTATCTAAATACATTTTTGAAACTATTTTTAGACCTTCTAGTTCACATAGAGTACTGAAAATTGCTTTGAGATGTCCTGCATAACTTTTTCATGATTCTTCATTTGAAGGTAAATGATTTATCACTAAGAGATTCCATGGCATGGTACTCTGTATGTCATTGTAACAGTCTGTTTATAACTGTTCAAGGATAGATATTAAATACACAGAAAAAGTAGGCTGAACTGAGAAAGCAGGTCATTTTAGAATATCTAGAGATGTGTTTTTTTTATGGGGGACTGTTAACAAACGAGCAAAAAAATGTGCAAAATAGTTGTAGGTGTGGGAGATTTCACAACTCTTATAGGGGTTGTGTTAGACAATGCTTAGAGGTGTTAATTAGACGGTCCACCCTTTTCTGGTAATCCTCAAAGCTACAGGGAATCCAGGAAGATGATCAGGTTGGCGCTTCACAGAAAGAGACTTCAGCTGTTGTGTTACCAGAAATAAAACAGAGCATGATGTGTTACCTCTAATTGTGCCATATTGTTGGAAAGCAGGCAGGTAAGGGAATTCAAGAAAACAGAAAATGGAAGAAGCAGGGAAAGCAGTGTATACTGAAGACCAAGGCCCTGGAGTAGGTATTGGAATTATTGCCTGTGGGTTCTGTCATCGCTATAGAGATTTTTTTACTAATAGTATGATTTAAACGTATCCTTTCATATATTAGTAACTAGTACCCACAGTGGGAAACTAACGTCCCTGTTTATCTTTATGCCATGGCTTCTGATACCCTTATTGTGGAGCCTTGCATGAAGAATGCAAAACTCAAGTCAGAAATATTTTTGATAGTCAAGAAAAGCCTGTGCCTTGTTCATGATATAGGAGCTGTCCTGTGTGTAAATAAAAAAAAATTGATTACGCTAACCGTCCTGCTGGTGGTAAGGAAGGATAGGATGACTCATAATGACTAAACAATATTTGCAATTATTAGGAGGTAAAAGTTGATCAAGTGAATAAAGTGGGGTTACTTTTTCCATTCATAGCGTTGCACTGATAAACGAGTATTTTACTGTCAAAGTCCAAAATAGTAAATCTACGTAGTCTTCTGTTCCATGTTTAGTTTAACTTTAGTGGAGCGACATCTCAGTCTGAAAGGCAAGCAAATATGACCCTATAATTAAGCTTAGTTAAAAAAAAAAGTGCCAATTAAATGCCAAATTAGTAAGAATAAAAAATTGATTTTAATATAGTTTAAGTATGCAGTCAAAATAATGCTAATAAACCTTGATTATTTCAATATAACTTAAATTTGAATGGCAACAGAATAGCAGTTGTCATCAAGAACTGAAAGCTTGTAGTTTACGAAGGCACTATTGTAGCCTTGTTACACTGATTCCAAATCACTTACTGGATTGTACAACCTGAAGGCAAATAACTGTAGATTAAGACATGAAGACATCTAGAGCTTAACAGTTAGTATTCTTATTTAGTGTTCCTGTTACATGAAGTTAGCTTGAGGCTACCTATAATTTATGGGGAGATTTTTATTTTTTTTTCTGTCTATGGATGAGAATTATTTTTCTTTGGCAGGAAAGAAAAAAGAAATAGTTATCTGAGACCATTTTTGACATTTTGCTGCTCAGCAAACTGTCCGATGAACAGTTACAGTTGAATCTGTCTACAGTGTTTTTAAGCAGTGTAGTTATCCAGGCTAGTAGATTATGCTTCGGATTTCTGAAAGAATGGATGTTCTTTTTCATGTCCAATTGGCCAGGATAATTGTAGCATCCAAGGGAGCAACAGAAGAGGTAGATAGCTTTTAGCTCTGTTCTGATAATCAGAAACAGCAGGCATCTCATGGCCTTTTCCTGCGAACAGTTTTAATGAATTGTAATAGGTACTACAAACCTGGTTTCACTGGCTAAATAAAAATGGCTTAAGTCAAAACCTTTTTACATACAAATTGTTTGACTAAGTTCTATGCATAAGTGAATATTTCTTCTATTAATATTTTTTTAGGATGAGATGAATTAAGTTATTTGCATAAAGGTGGCAAGAATATTTCTTGGAGACAGCTAGAGAACAACTATAGGAATAAATGCTACCATGACCTTTTTATCATTTTCAGGTCTTTTGCCCTCCTATTCTGAACTGCATACACTCATCTGTATTCCTTCTTGTTCACTGTCCATTTTTGGGATACAGACAGGTTCTTCATTTTTGGATTTAAATAACAGTTCAGGCCTTCCTCTTTATTAAACAAATAAAAAGCAGAATCAGCACATGCCTGGTACCACAAACAGTTGCTTACAGCTCAGTTACAAAACCTAGGGATTTTTCTACTTCTGAATGTTTATTAGTTTAGGATGATTCTTTAAATTGCCTACCTGTTCTAGCATTTTGGGCTCAACATTTAATCGGGCTAATATTGGCCGGCTCCTTCAGCACCCATGGGTGCATTCTTATCGGGGCCAATGGATTTGTGGATATCAAGTTTGCTTAGCTGATCTCTGACCTGATCTTCTTTGACCAAGGGAAAGCCGTCCTTTATCTGGACTTCCTCTCTTGTCTTCAGCATCTGAGATTCCTGAGGGCTGATCTTAGCAGTAAATACATGTAACAAATGGCTAAGTCCCAAATAGGGTTACAATCAAAGTTTACAATTTATTAAATGAATAGAGGTAAGCAAACAGCGCTGGGTGCACCGGGAGCCTCTGCTCCACCAAGACGCACACAAGTTACATCAGGTGGCTGGTTTTTATGCTCCTAGGCTCCTACATACTCATTATTACTTCTAGAAAAGGCAGAGTTATTGTAATTAGTTTCCGGAATCGAAACCCTCCTACTGGTGCATGCGTATCAGTCTCCGGTGGTCCTTTGGGGGTCTCTCGAGCTGAAGGCTCGTAGTCTTCCTCCCAGGCTTTTTTTCTTGTCTTTCTCCTTTGTCCATCTTGGCTGG